CAGGAGTTGCGACCCTGACTGCTGGCCGCGACGTCTGACTAAACGGCGCTGCACACGATAGCGCATCCGTGTGCCGTCAGCCGTTCCAGCCGCTCCAGCCGTGCCACCTTTGCCCTCACGCACGTCGACGATCGCATCATGTCGGAACGACGGGGACCCAAACTGTGAGGCAGCGTTTTTCTCTTGCGAACTGAGAACTCTACGCGCTGGACTCGGAGTAAGCGTAGCCGCGAGCTCTCCGCATGCTAGAGGTCTGACTCTCATACATGTTGCGTGACGCGTGGCGTGTAGGGTTGGACATATAGTTTTATTTTCACCTACCACTTCGTTCTCTAGTGTATAATATGACGCTTCTTTTGTTCGCATCCATTGTTGATGTCAATCCTTTTTCGTCCGCTATCAACAAACACAGTGACGAACGTCCTTAACCATCACACATGGCTTTCTTCCGGGGCTTCAGGATCGGGGCGACGACCGCAGTGCGCCATGACTCCAGTAGGACCCCACTGCTCCAGACGTCGTTGTAGTACTCGAGCAGGTGCTGGCGCCCAGCTCCGTCCAGGTTACGAAGCATCTGGAAGGTGACACCATCAGCTCCCGGGGCACTTCGTCTTTTCGATCCTGCAAGGGTAGCCTCCAACTCGTGTTTCCTGATGGGTTCGCAGCACAGCTCTTGTACTTCTGCAGCTGTCCACCCAGGATGGTGGCAAGTGTCAGGATACTGCAGCGCAGCAAGGGAGGTGCAGCAGGCAGCTGGGCAATGTCCCTCGCAGAAAACTGGTCGGCCAGCTGTTCTGCCAGGTCCGCTGCCTGGATGGAAAGGTGGACGGCCAGGGACATCACTTGGTTGAACGGCCGTGGCACCATCAGCAGGCACTTCAGCAGGCGCCAGGCCTTGGTGCCATCCCGTGATCGGTCGATGGAGGCGCAGACGCCCACCCAGCCCTGCTTCCTGCGCGCTCGGGCGTGGCGTCTGCAGGCGGCGTCGACCTTCCGGAACGCTGTCCAGAGCTCTGGTTGTCTCTTCTTCAGAGCCTGACGTTCTGCCCGCCTCCGTGCTGCTCTCAAGGCTAGGTGCCGGATGTCTGGAACAGGCTGCCCTTGCTGCGCCTTAACAGCGACAGTTGCAGTCCGGGCACTGTCAGCCACCAGCTGCATGAGGTCCTTGTCACCGGTGTCCTGCCTGAGCAGCTGCCGGTATACCCGCCAGTCTACCACCCGGTACTCTCGATCCCTGGGGGCCTTGCCTCGGTAAGGGGTGAGAAGGATGGGCAGGTGGTCCGAACCCCAGGTGTCCGGGAACGGTGTCCAGGCGTACCGGCAACCCTCCGTAGCCACGCTGAGGTCTATGGCTGTGGTGGTGCTGTTTGCTCCGCGACGCAGGTAGGTGACGGCCCCCGTGTTCAGGATCACCAGGCCCAGCTGCAAGAGGACGTCTCGCACCTCTCGCCCTCATACATCGGTCCTGCGGCCGCCCCAAGCTGGATGGTGAGCGTTGACGTCTCCACACAGCAGGAAGTCCTTCCCTAGTTGGTGCGCAAGCTGCCGAAGACACCCGGGGTCCCAAGGTTCCTTTGGTCTGATGTAGACGCTGGCCACCGCAGTGTCAACACCGTCGAGGCGGACCCGGACGGCGCAGAACTCGAAGGGCCCTCCGGCCAGGTCGGCCATGAATACCTCCGCCTGCAGCAGGTCCCGCTTGACGTAGATGGCACAGCGGGAAGGTCCTTGTGGGTGGTTGTCGTCCAGGCAAGGGGCAGCACTGCAGTCGGTCAGGGTGCAGCTCATCCGGCTGCTGTAGCCGACGTAGCCTGGAAGTCGGAGCTGCTCTGCCTGGGCGTAGACCTCCTGGAGTGCAAGGACGTCATAGTCGTTGTGGAGCAGGTGTTGTGCGAGGTCGTCTCTCCGTGGTCCCAGCCAGTGGGCGTTCCACTGGAGGACGCTCGGGCGTCGGGGCTGACGTTGCCTGGTGGGAGGACTAGCCATGCTGGTTGTTCTGTTGCCAAGCCCCTGCCTGCAGGCAGATGGCACGAAGCGGGTGCTCTTGTGGAAGCAAGGCAGCGACTGCCTGCAAGGAGAGCAGAAGGGGGCCCAGAAGTTGTTCCACTAGAAGTGTCGGGGCAGAGGTCTCAGCAGTCTGGGCCCTGGGAGTGGCGGTTGCGGGTGTGCAGACTTGAGCAGGAGGTCGGTCAACAGGAGCAGCTGGGGTTGCAGGCTCTGGAGTGTTGGTTGCAACTGCAGGGGTTGGCCGGCGGAGGTTGCGTGGTGCTGGGGTTGGTCTGGCTGATGCCGCGTGGCCCTTCACTGCACTGGCATAGGACCGAACCTCCCTTGTCTGTTCCCTCACAACTGCCGCGACTGCTCGTCTGGAGAGGGCTGTGGTCGAAGAGGCCATGATGGTAGCCACTCGTCTCTGCTCCTGCCAGCGAGGACAGTCTGGTGTGTCAGCACGATGGGGGCCCCCGCAGTTCACACAACGGAGATGCTGGCAGTCCGACTCTCCTGGGTGAGACCGGCCGCAACGGATACAGCTGTCTGGCCAGTTGCAGGTCTCCCTCACGTGGCCGTACCGGCCACACTGCCTACACTGGAGTGGCCGTGGTCTGGCTGGTCGGACTGGGAAGCGTACTCGGAACAGTGTCACGTGGTCTGGGGGAACTGGACCCTCGAAGCACAGCGTGACGGTTCGGCCTTCTCTAGATGCAGAAAGGACCCGTACAGCCGACTGGAGTCCGGACAGCAAGTTCTCGTCAGCAGCGTCGCCGTCCACACCGTGGAGGAATCCCATACTGGTTCGGCGGCCTGCAGGCTGTCTGGCGGTCACTGGTATGCCCTTGAGCTCTGTGAGGGCCAAGAGCTTGACAAGGCATTCCTGGGAACTCACGTCCACTGCTGCCACGTTGCGGTGTTGGTTCACCCGGATCGCAGCGACTCCCGGGTGCAGCGAGAGTGCCTGGGCTATGGTCAGTCTGGGGCAGTTCCGGAACGAGCCTCCAGCAGAAGCAGGCCGGTAGAGCACTGTCCCCTTCACCGCAGGGTTTACAGGAAGGGCTGCTGATGTCAGGTTCCTGGTACGACGAAGGGCAGCCTTAGAGCGAACTGTCTGGAATCCCTCATGGTCAACTGTCTCAGTGGTAGGGGCAGCTGCACGTCTGAGGGCAGTAAGGGGCGTGGGGGATGGCCCCGTGGTGTTGGTCTGCTTGCACTGGCTCCCAGAAGAGGGTGGGGAAACCGCTGCACTCCGCAAGGCTGGTACAGTCCTCCTCCTACGCCGATTCCTGTTCCTCTTCCTCCGAGGTTTCCCAGTGGTGTTGGCACTTGTGGCATCCTTCAGGAAAGCCGCGGCAGGGTGAGGGGACACGGTCTCGTGGTGAAGTGCTTCGTCCATTTCTTCAGGAGCATCAATGGCAGGTACGCCTGGAGGGCCCGTGGCCACAGTAGAGGGGTCCATTTGGATCACCGAGGCCACCCCAGTCGTAGTGCTGCTTGTAGAACTGTCGATAGAATCCTCGGTGTGTTGGGAGTCATAGGACAGCCGAGAATCCGAGCTGTCGGCACTGCTGTTACTCTCTCCTTGAGGATTGCCTTGGGCCAGCTTGCGCCGTGTGTCCGCTTCATCGTCGCTGCTATCCTGAGGGCGGGGACGCTTCCGTGACGCGGACATGTCCATCTCCTCTTCAGCAGCAGGGGCACTGGTACACATGGCGTCTCCGCGCGAGGCCTGCGACAAACGTCGAACAGCGTCTGCGGCAGCAGTCTTCCATGCCATGACCATGTTGTCTCTGGACTCCTGTAGAGTCCAAGATTGCAGGCTTTCCAGCTGGACGAATGGAATGCCACCAAAACTTGCGCCACGTTTGTGCCTGGGGTTTCGCACAGGTCGGGCCGGCAGTGCTCCTGGCGGCGGCATCATAGCTTGCGCTAGTGCCTTCGCATCCTCGGAAGGTCGGTACCTATCCTGGTCGTCCATGATCGTGCAAGGGAGCCGACTGAGGTCTGTCGGTTGTGCACGCACTCACCCGCAAACACTCACACACTTTCACTTACACCACTAGTTGGCAGAGTTCTGGAAGGAAACACTTCTCGGCAGAGCCGGTGGTTATTGTGAGGGGAAAAGCACTGGTTAGTCACTGAAATCACTACACGTAATGTAGTGCACTAAAAAAAACGAGCACGCTACTATACACGCTGCTTGAGGCAAAAAACACGCACTTGAGTGGAAGGCAAGAACGCAAACAAGCACACACACAAGGGCTAAAAACGAGTCAAGTAAACGCTGGCACAAGGCACACTTTCTAGGAGTAGTCAAACACCAACGGTACTCACACTAAAAGTAGCCGAGAGGCACAAGAACACACTCCCGATAAGTAAAAAGCGCCCTGAAAAACACGAAGAGGTGCTCGCTTACGCCTTCTTCTCCGTCTTCTTCGGAAGAAGCACGGCTTGAATGTTGGGCAACACACCGCCCTGCGCGATGGTGACGCCGGAAAGCAGTTTGTTCAGCTCCTCGTCGTTGCGGATGGCGAGCTGCAAGTGACGGGGGATGATCCGGGTCTTCTTGTTGTCACGAGCGGCGTTGCCCGCCAGCTCGAGCACCTCGGCGGCCAGGTACTCGAGTACGGCAGCCAGGTAGACCGGGCGCCCGCTCCGACGCGCTCGGCGTAGTTTCCCTTGCGTAGGAGGCGGTGAATACGGCCCACGGGGAACTGAAGCCCCGCGCGGCTAGAACGGGTCTTGCTCTTGCCTTTCGCCTTGCCGCCCTTGCCACGTCCGGACATGGTGTTGCTTTTCGCTTGCCGGTTGAGAAAAACTGCTGCCTTCTAAGATGAGAGCCGTGCTCGAATGGTTTCCGTTGCCACCATCGCGCGCCGCCGCTCGCGGGGAACGGATGAGAGTGTGAGAGAGGGAAGCCGTGCGAACCAATGGGGCGCGCGCGTTGTGCTGATCTCGTCAACACCCCTCGCTCATATTTAAGCGCGCCGCGCAGGGGCGACACGCGCATTCGACTCTGGTCTCGCGTGCGTGTTGCGTGAAATCATGCCTCCCCAACCGTCTGGCAAAGCCGTCAAGAAGGCCGGCAAGGCGCAGAAGAATGTGCGCGCCACGGACAAGAAGAAGAAGAAGCGCCGCAGGAAGGAGAGCTTCTCCATCTACATCTATAAGGTGCTGAAGCAGGTGCACCCCGACACTGGTGTCTCCAGCAAGGCCATGTCCATCATGAACAGCTTCGTGAACGACATCTTCGAGCGTATCGCCGCCGAGTCGTCACGCCTTGCTCACTACAACAAGCGCTCGACCATCACGAGCCGGGAGATCCAGACCGCGGTGCGCCTGCTTCTGCCCGGAGAGCTGGCCAAGCACGCGGTGTCCGAGGGCACAAAAGCCGTCACCAAGTACACCAGCTCCAAGTAGGCGTGCGTCGTGGGCCACAGCGAGCGGCGACAAATCAACGGCTCTTCTCAGAGCCACCCAAATTGTTTGCGTCGGCATAGGGGTTGTGCTGAGAGATTCGGCTCCAAATCCATCCTCTTCTCTCTGTTGAACACCGCTAGCAGGAGCGTTGGTGTGCCGCGCTCGACGTGTGTGCTCGGGTAGGTTGAACAGGTAAATTAGAGAAGACCGAGTGCGCGGAGAAAAGTGCCACAAGTACGGTAATGGAGGGAAAACCAGGAGCGTGGTAATTAAAAAAAAAAAAAAACAGGGGGAAGGTGGCCGCTGCTCAAAACGTAACATGACCTCGAGTGTGTTCAGCTCTAGGGGAATGATCGAAAAGAAAACTAGCGTCAGCATTTGCCCGAGCAACTCCGACATGTCGGGCCAAATACGAAGGGGTATACACGGTATGCAGTGCATGCGGAGAGAAGGGAACTGCAGAACACTTGATAATGTTATGTAAATGGCTTCACCCTATAGTTTAAAATGATGGCGCAGAGTTTTTCAAAGCACCGGGGGAGGGCAAAATATACTTTAGGCGGGTAGAATCAACTAGAAGGTGGTTATCTTATTGGTGGCTACAGTCAAAGCAAGAGTGAAAACTAAACCATTCACTGCAAAGCGCCGGTCCTATACTTCACTATTTAAGGGGGACAAAATAAAAAGATAAATCTAGTTGTTGTTTAGCTAAGCATGTCCGATGTGAAGGGTACAGCCACATTCATCAGCCAGCGCCGAGTTCCTTCTCTGCCACGCCCACTCATTTGTTTACGAAATTGGGGCATTCATTTCTTGAGAGCGCAGGGCAGGCCCGTTTCGAGACTGTAGGAGGAGTGAATGTAGATTGAAGTGCGCGATGCGGTGAAAAATGTGCGGAAGCATTGATGCAAGAAAAGATGGGGGAGAATGTATAGACGCATGTGACATTAGCTGTAGAAGCGGAAAAGCGTGGGGGCGGGCTGCATGCTAATTATTGCCCCAACGCAAAGTATCAACAGCCCCCATGGAAAGGGAAAAAAAAAAAATAAGCTGTGCGTACGCATAACAGGGGTACCACGCAGGTGATTTATATAGTGTACAAAGAAGTACGAAACTCAGTAAAGAAAGGCGGTCGACAGGGGGTATGGGCATTTCCTGTTTTTTACCACCGAGTGCTCCGTTTGCGCGTCGCCGAAACAAACATAGCCAGGCCGGCCAGCAAACGACACTGCTCGGCTTGACGTTTACATATCACACGGTTGTAGCGGAACACTGTGTTCTCTTCGAAAGAACAAATGCGCCTGTGCTAGGCACAAATGAGTGGTGCGTTCCATTAGGAATATGGTTGGAAACTTACGTTAAATGAATGAGTGGACGCACCCTTTATTTCCGCTTGGTTTCGTGACGTGATGGACGGCAGCGAGCGTTGCAGTGTAACCGATACACATGTAACTGAGCGGTTGACGTCGGTCAGAATGTAGAAATGTGCAGTTTTCTGCGCGAAAAAGGAAAAGGGGGATGGGAGAAAAAATAATTGTTTGACGCTACCGCAGCTATCGTTATGGTGCGTCGTAGCGCCGCTAGCATGCCAAGGGGAAGCATGCCAAGGGGAAGTCCGCGTTTAACTCGTCGTGAGCAAATGAATATAACGAGAGAAAGGACATCGCCAAAGAAAGAAAACAGCGGTGACTCACAATTAAGGCTGAACCAGCCAGAGTTGGCTGGCATGTTATCGTGGCCTTGGATGTCGTTTGGATCGCGGGGCTTGTCTGAGTACTGGTGCACGCGTTCGGCTGCAGCCGCCTTTCGTTCAGCAGGGATGATGGTTCGCGGTCAGTGGCCCTGTTTAAATAGATGCGAAGCCTAGTTAAAGTTGTTATCTACGCAGAATCGCCACACTTCATGTACCATTAGAACCGTGTCGTAGATGCGGTGCGGGAGGACTCAGTCCTAAATGGTGGGTTAATTAATTAAAAAAAAAAGAAAAAAAGCGGCTACTCAGGATTCGCAGTTGGACTGGATGCGAACCAAAGGTGGCAGTTTGGTTGTTGGGTTGCGATTGCCGCGGGCGTGTACCTGCACAATGCGGCCGTCGTTTGTAAGATGATTTCATTTGCGGAGGTTAGTGAGACCAGGCTGTGTTTTTATTGATGTTTCATTTCAGGATACCAACCGCGGCTTTTTCGAACGGCTTGTGGGTGTTTTGTGAGATCTTTTTAGATTACTGACTATGTTCAGCGGCTCGACAGTGCATTTGTATGAAGCCTTCAAGCGCGATCATTTTGTAAATTTGCATCGTGCGTCCCTGCCACCATGGGACCGCTCATGATTGTGAAAGATGAAACTGCGACCGCTTGAACACACTTGCACCACAAAAATGGCACGCGCAGTTTGGTATTGGTGCACGTGAGAAGGGAATACAATAGATGGGCATTGGCGCGCATCTTTTTCTCTTATTGATATGATATATAAGGATATGTCGGCGCACCATTATGGCACCGGCTACTCCTTAGCCGTTGAGTGAAACTTGAACACGTATCTTGAAGCAAAACATACAAAGCAGTGCATGGAAAGTAGAAAACTCGGGCAGAAATATGCAAAGACACACTTACACTTATACACACATATCAGAACACAATGGTAAGTAAATGTTCGAAAGTCAATGAATGAAGTCTCTGATAATGTCCCTCGTTAATATTCGGTCCACCAGCACAAAACAGTGGAGCACACGTCTGGTCCTTATAAGATGCATTCGCTCGTGTGTACATAATTGTCGACACGTCATTCATTTCACAACACACACATGATGGGAGTCACGTGATACTGTACATAATAAGTACATTTGTTACAAATGAAAGTTCGTTATTTCTTAATACTTATCAGCAATCCCGCTGTCTTGTAAAGAACGTGTTGATGCTTTTAAAGCGTGCGACTGTAAAACTCGAGTAGGCCACGGACCCAGAAGTTTCTTCATGTTAAACGGTCTGCGGTCTAATGCCAACTGTTCGGACTTAAGACGGCGTCTCGTGATGTGGACATTCTACGAGAAGGTGACATACGTCTTCATCTATTAATCCACATTCGCATTCGGGACTTTCAGCTCTGCCGTGTCTGTGCAAAAAAAAAAAAAATGTTTTGTGTATGTCGTGCCTAGCCTCAATCGGTAAATTAGAGTTTGCGATATTCTATCTAATGCCAGCGTAATTTTTAATTCAATAGATGGATCGATGTGGTATAAATCGCACCTCTTTGTACTTTGGTCAAACCAAGCAGTTTTGCTCATTCTGAAAGTTTTATTCTTTATAATACTACGCAATTCACTTTTTTCGAAATATTGGTTGCCACGATGTGTAGACCTACTTTGTTTGCTCTGGACGGCAGATATCAGGCGTAATGAAGCTAGGAACACATGTGAGCCTCGGAAAAAGAAGTGCGAATAAGAAAGGCCAACTGCAAATCCTCTTTGCACAGCTGATGCCGTCCGGATAGTCGTTGATAGATTACTTAACAGGTTGTCAGCCTCCGAAGGTATTATGTAAGCGAAAGTACGCATGCGTAAAACATGCAGCGAACGAACACTCTTCCAACGCTGTAAAGAAGAAAGAATGCATAAAGGGTGGTGCATTTTACGCTCCAATATCGTCCTATGTAAGGCGCTTTAGAGTTAGGGCTGTTTTGCCTGTAATTGCGTGACCCTTGCAGGGTTCCTCACAGTGCAACCGTGCACTTGAAACAAGATGGGGAAACTTCGCTGCGACCGGACCGCTTGACAGTCCGTGTTTACGGGAGGAGAGGCGCGCCCGAGAGGAGGTGCGCTCTCACTCTCTGCCGTCCCCGTGAATGCTGAAATGAGCGCGGTCGCGTTGCGTGGCTTCGGTGAAACTGCCGTATCGCGATATGTAGTGGAGCTGCCACAGTAAAATTTGGGACACGCGTAGCCAGCCGAAGGTGCTGTTACTTTGCCGAATTTCACGTGCCGGCGTCCACAACAATGCGGCCGTCGTTTGTAAGATGATTTCATTTGCGGAGGTTAGTGAGACCAGGCTGTGTTTTTATTGATGTTTCATTTCAGGATACCAACCGCGGCTTTTTCGAACGGCTTGTGGGTGTTTTGTGAGATCTTTTTAGATTACTGACTATGTTCAGCGGCTCGACAGTGCATTTGTATGAAGCCTTCAAGCGCGATCATTTTGTAAATTTGCATCGTGCGTCCCTGCCACCATGGGACCGCTCATGATTGTGAAAGATGAAACTGCGACCGCTTGAACACACTTGCACCACAAAAATGGCACGCGCAGTTTGGTATTGGTGCACGTGAGAAGGGAATACAATAGATGGGCATTGGCGCGCATCTTTTTCTCTTATTGATATGATATATAAGGATATGTCGGCGCACCATTATGGCACCGGCTACTCCTTAGCCGTTGAGTGAAACTTGAACACGTATCTTGAAGCAAAACATACAAAGCAGTGCATGGAAAGTAGAAAACTCGGGCAGAAATATGCAAAGACACACTTACACTTATACACACATATCAGAACACAATGGTAAGTAAATGTTCGAAAGTCAATGAATGAAGTCTCTGATAATGTCCCTCGTTAATATTCGGTCCACCAGCACAAAACAGTGGAGCACACGTCTGGTCCTTATAAAGATGCATTCGCTCGTGTGTACATAATTGTCGACACGTCATTCATTTCACAACACACACATGATGGGAGTCACGTGATACTGTACATAATAAGTACATTTGTTACAAATGAAAGTTCGTTATTTCTTAATACTTATCAGCAATCCCGCTGTCTTGTAAAGAACGTGTTGATGCTTTTAAAGCGTGCGACTGTAAAACTCGAGTAGGCCACGGACCCAGAAGTTTCTTCATGTTAAACGGTCTGCGGTCTAATGCCAACTGTTCGGACTTAAGACGGCGTCTCGTGATGTGGACATTCTACGAGAAGGTGACATACGTCTTCATCTATTAATCCACATTCGCATTCGGGACTTTCAGCTCTGCCGTGTCTGTGCAAAAAAAAAAAAAAAATGTTTTGTGTATGTCGTGCCTAGCCTCAATCGGTAAATTAGAGTTTGCGATATTCTATCTAATGCCAGCGTAATTTTTAATTCAATAGATGGATCGATGTGGTATAAATCGCACCTCTTTGTACTTTGGTCAAACCAAGCAGTTTTGCTCATTCTGAAAGTTTTATTCTTTATAATACTACGCAATTCACTTTTTTCGAAATATTGGTTGCCACGATGTGTAGACCTACTTTGTTTGCTCTGGACGGCAGATATCAGGCGTAATGAAGCTAGGAACACATGTGAGCCTCGGAAAAAGAAGTGCGAATAAGAAAGGCCAACTGCAAATCCTCTTTGCACAGCTGATGCCGTCCGGATAGTCGTTGATAGATTACTTAACAGGTTGTCAGCCTCCGAAGGTATTATGTAAGCGAAAGTACGCATGCGTAAAACATGCAGCGAACGAACACTCTTCCAACGCTGTAAAGAAGAAAGAATGCATAAAGGGTGGTGCATTTTACGCTCCAATCTCGTCCTATGTAAGGCGCTTTAGAGTTAGGGCTGTTTTGCCTGTAATTGCGTGACCCTTGCAGGGTTCCTCACAGTGCAACCGTGCACTTGAAACGGGCAGGTGTTGAACCACCCCGCAAGGAGATGGGGAAACTTCGCTGCGACCGGACCGCTTGACAGTCCGTGTTTACGGGAGGAGAGGCGCGCCCGAGAGGAGGTGCGCTCTCACTCTCTGCCGTCCCCGTGAATGCTGAAATGAGCGCGGTCGCGTTGCGTGGCTTCGGTGAAACTGCCGTATCGCGATATGTAGTGGAGCTGCCACAGTAAAATTTGAGACACGCGTAGCCAGCCGAAGGTGCTGTTACTTTGCCGAATTTCACGTGCCGGCGTCCACAACAACGCGAGCACGCTTTGTTTAGAAATTCCCGGCCATGAGGCCGTGCCCGGACCGCGTGTGTTAGTCCCTTGGTTTGGCGACAAGGATGGCGTCAAAGTGACGCCGTGAAACGGGTTTCGTGCGTGCAAATGAGGCATTGATGTGATTAGAAGAAAGCGAGAACATAGAAAAGAAAAAAAAAAGAGGGAGGGGGCACAGGCCGGGGACGAGTAGTCGCAAAGTGTTAAGTGTGCAGTTTATTTACGTGCGGCACACAGGTGAGCTGTTGCAGCTGTGAGTTTTGACAAATATTGCGTGTGTCATGTTCAGTGGACACGATGAAACGTTTGTTTTAGCGAACGCGTTGTATCCGCTGTTGTACGTCGCGTACATGAATTGTCGCTTACTCGGTTTGATGTCTCCTTGCCGCTGGGGCAGCTGATACGACTGATACGCCATTTTGCAGCAGTGAAGGGTGCGTGAATGAATGGCCAAGAAACTTAGCAACAGTAACGAGAAAAGAATTAAAAACAAACAAACAAACGAAAGCATGTTTGCCGTGTATATTCAATCTTGTAGTGCAGAAAAATAGTCAGTGCAGCAACCTGCGCGGCCAACGCGCTCCTCGCGAAGAAAAGAGGGAGAGAGAGACGAGCCGGCCGCCGACCAACCGGCGTGCGCCGTTCGCCTTCCTCCTCAGTCTCGCGGGTCGGCGCCGACACCACGACTCGATCGTGTGGAGCATTCGCTTTCCGGGCGCGTTTCGAAGCAGAAGCAGAACTTCGGAAGCCGTCATGTCTGGCCGTGGCAAAGGTGGCAAGGGGTTGGGGAAGGGTGGCGCCAAGCGTCATCGAAAGGTGTTGCGTGACAACATCCAGGGCATAACCAAGCCGGCCATCCGTCGTCTGGCGCGCCGTGGCGGTGTCAAGCGCATCTCTGGCCTCATCTACGAAGAAACTCGCGGCGTTCTCAAGGTGTTCCTCGAGAACGTGATCCGCGATGCCGTCACTTACACCGAGCACGCCAAAAGGAAGACCGTGACAGCCATGGACGTCGTGTACGCCCTCAAGCGTCAGGGCCGCACCCTGTACGGATTCGGAGGCTAAGAAGCCAGCGGCGTCGCCTGCAGCCAGCCAACGAGAACACAACAGCCCTCTTCAGGGCTACCCACTTGATGCTTCGGCAGTGTGATCCCAGCGGTTCGCCATACCCGCCCGTCCCTCTTTGCAATATCATTGCGTCATCGCTCAGGTGAGCAGCACCTCGTGTAGTAGTAGCCTGATCGCGCTGGGTACTTGTCACGTTCACCGCATTTCGTTCGCGTCGGCGTCTTTCTCCTGGGTCTGCATGCACGAATCAATCGCCGCATCTGCGAGTTCTTCCTCTCCTTCCTGCAAGCCAAGCTGCTAAAACGGGCCCGTCAAGCGAACTTCGCCTAGTTAGTTACCTTATCGCGCGAAGGAAGAAGCCGAGCGCAGCGTTCTACCCTGGTCACTGCATTCTTGGAGACACGACTATGCTCAGGAAGCACGAACTCGCTTTTCTGTTTGGAATGCCCACTACACGATCGCGTCACGTTGTGTCGAAATAAATAAAAACGCACTATGTTCTACCGTGGGGCACGCAGACGAAGAACGGCTGTGTACTTACAAATGAAAATTGATTGTGACAGGTTGGTCGTGTTTACCGCCGTGCACTCAGAAGTGCCCCATTCAAGAACACATTGTGTACATTGTCCCGCCTAATTTTTTTTTTTTTCCACACCTGGCGCTGCCAAGCTGTAAAAAAAAAAAAAAAAAGCAAGAAAGAAAAGTGGAAGGGGATGTTTAAACAATTTTCTGCGCAAGTCAGAAGCAAGTACACAATAAGCGCTGCCCATGCGGCGTGCTGAGGCAAGCTGCACTTGATAGAAGTGGCACTCATGTACTGTACTGGTGCTGCGAACACTGCAGTTGTGAAAGCTTTACTTGGACGGACAGCCACGCAACAATTGTTTCCATTTCGCCGGCAGAGGTGGTCACTCTAGGGAGGCTGGCTTGGCCGCCCACGCGAGAGGGGGAGGGGGACTGGCCCATGTAAACGCGAAAGGTTCGAGCGCGGGAAATTCGAAAGCAAGGCGCGCTCGCGTGAGCCTGCCGTCAGATGGCGACACCAACCCACGAGCAATGCATTTTCAAGTGCACCCTTCTTTTCCCACCCCCCTCCGCACAGGAAGAGGCGCGTCGAATGTGTAACCAAGGCGCACGACAGTGGTTCTGCTCAGGCAAGCCTACCTATAACAAAAATTGTTCTCCAAGTGTGTACCTTCATTTTCTCGTGAAAATGTGAAAGCCGAGTGAATGGGGCTTTTTGAGGCGCGTGTTGATCTTCCTTTCTATTATGATTATTATTTTTCACCCTTTCATTGAGTCCATTTCCTGCTTTTTGTGCCACATATTTAGCACTTAGAGGTGGGGGGGGGGGGATTGCTGATGTGTAAGATGGAAACGAAGAGGAAAGTGAGCCCCGAAACAACTGTCTGCATCAGGATGCGACACCTCAGCGGTAGCTCACAAGGGATGGGGGGTGAGGACGGATTAAAAGGATAGGAATAATGGTGTAGAGAAAGAGAGATGAGGGAAGCCAGAGTGAGACGACATATCGAGGGAATAGGAGTAAAAATGAAACAAAACATTCGAACGCAAACACCCCGTACATCCAACCGCCATTGAGCGCACCTAGTTGTTTGGCAAGTATGTATGAGTGATTCTTAAGAGGGAAAGGAAGATAAAATTGAGTCCCGTTACTGTCTGCTATTGAGCAAGTAGGCGCGCTCAGTGGCAGTTGGATGTACGGGGTGTTTGTGTTAGAATGTTTTGTTGCATTTTACTCCTTGTCATTGCGCGGACGTGTATGCATATACCAACACTGCCGGTGGTCTCTCGTCGTCTTCGCCCCTCTACGTAATGGTCGCAAATGAGCGACAACGCAAGGAGCAAGTTTTTTGGCGTGGCAGTGCGCATTTGCCCTCGGTGATGCGAGGCGCTCTAGTGCGATGCGCGCTGTTGGCGTGAACGGTGGCGTCTCGCACTCCGTCGCGCCCCTTCGGGAAGCGACGAGCTACAGCGTCGATTGATGTGTTGCCTGAAAGGCGAAAGAAATGCGCAGCAGGCTGTATTGTACAGCGGTAGTGGTTTCGTTTCGGTGTACCTCTTTGCAGCCGCGAACTGCACGGTTGCCCGAAAATGAGCGCCAGCCAGCATCCTGGCGCACGCTTCCGCGCTCGCACGCGGACGGGTTCTCACGCGTCGGCCAATGGGAGGGAGAGAGATGGGTCGTGCGGCGAAGCCGCTTGCCGTTCTCCGGCAGGAGCGCAGTTTCGCTCCGCCAGTCGAGGTGATCGGACGTACGAACCATGGCCCGAACTAAACAAACCGCGCGCAAGAGTACCGGAGGCAAGGCTCCGCGTAAGCAGCTTGCTACCAAGGCTGCTCGCAAGAGTGCCCCTGCCACAGGCGGGGTGAAGAAACCTCACCGTTACAGGCCTGGAACCGTGGCCCTGCGTGAAATTCGCCGATACCAGAAGTCGACCGAACTGCTGATCCGCAAGCTTCCCTTTCAGCGCCTGGTGCGGGAAATCGCTCAGGACTTCAAGACGGACCTCCGTTTCCAGAGTTCTGCCGTGATGGCCCTTCAGGAAGCTAGCGAGGCCTACCTCGTTGGTCTTTTCGAAGACACCAACCTGTGCGCCATCCACGCTAAGCGCGTCACCATCATGCCAAAGGACATCCAGCTGGCTCGGCGCATTCGCGGTGAGCGCGCCTAAGTTGGGCTGCTCCCTGCGCTTCGGTCGACAGGCAAGCAACAACAAACGGTCCTTCTCAGGACCACCAACGTGTCTGCTTTGGCTACGAGACCACTCCAGGCCACGTACTCCGGCCGCACCCTCTTTTGCTGTCATGTTTTGTACGTTCGTGGCTGCGTTGTCTAGAGCGCGGAAGAACGGAACGTCGGCGCGTCGTTATTACGAAGAAATGGCTCAGCTTTGACAAATTCAAGGTAAAAGTGTGTATCATTATGAGTAGACAGAGAAAAGGTAGGCTAGCTTCAGTCGGTGTGTGTGCAGCAGCCGTGCTGCGAACCTGTGGTGTGTCAATTTCATTTATGTGTTTACCTTTTTGCCCGCCGCTTGTAAGGTGTTTTTGAGGGCTTCTGTTTGCGTAACGCCATGGTGACTTGGGCTGCTGGACCCCGGCGCAACTTTTGGGTGCACTCGTAGGAGGTGATGAAGTTTTACCGAGAGACGAAATAAACAATTGTATCGGGCCAGTTGGTAAGGATCCATCTTGCTAGGAAGCGCAGCCACTATTACACAGACCTCACAACACAAGCGCTTAACTTCAACTGAACGTTTATTGCAAACGTCAGAGTTTATAAGGGGGTGAACAGAGAAAAAGAATAGTAAAAGGTAGACAACAAAAAGCACACGTGCCAGTCCCGCACATTACTGTCTGTTATTCTCTATCACCCCATCCAAAAAACAGTTCTTTCCGCGTGAGCGCGATAGAGAGTGCACTAACACACTCGAAATCATCGCGTGTCATTTCCTTTCATTTCTTTTGAAGCAGAACAAGTTTTTGTGCCATATTCTGGACAGTTTTTTTTTTGCAATAAACGTTTAGTTGAAGTTAAGCGCTTGTGTTGTGTGTTCTGTGTAATAGTGGCTGCGCTTCCTAGCAAGATAGACGAAATAAATTGTGTTAGAAGCACCAAATGAAATGCGCTAACGGCGGGTTCTCTCTCTCTCTTTTTTTTTACCTTACGTTTGTTTTTCGATGCAAAAGTATTAAATTTACTCTGTCCCTGTGCTGACCCGTTCAGGTGTCATCGTAAGGATAGACGGTTACGTGTGGAGCTTCACAGTAACTAATGACAACGCTTACATGCTCTTTTCTGTCTTTTTCGGTGCCGAGCTGCGTGATTTGGTTGTCTCTGTGCAGCATTTGGCGTTGCGCACTTGTGGCTAACTGATGTCGCGAGGAAATATATAGAAAATATAGCAAAACAAACACGCTTGAGGGTACGAACAGAGCCATCGTGACTGCGAAGCGAAGCCCGGCCGCGTCACCTGTTTGGGTGGTCCTTAGAAGGACCGTTTGGGGAATGCGGCGAGCGCGCGGAAGGGGTGCTCGCTTACGCCTTCTTCTCCGTCTTCTTCGGAAGAAGCACGGCTTGAATGTTGGGCAACACACCGCCCTGCGCGATGGTGACGCCGGAAAGCAGTTTGTTCAGCTCCTCGTCGTTGCGGATGGCGAGCTGCAAGTGACGGGGGATGATCCGGGTCTTCTTGTTGTCACGAGCGGCGTTGCCCGCCAGCTCGAGCACCTCGGCGGCCAGGTACTCGAGTACGGCAGCCAGGTAGACCGGGGCGCCCGCTCCGACGCGCTCGGCGTAGTTTCCCTTGCGTAGGAGGCGGTGAATACGGCCCACGGGGAACTGAAGCCCCGCGCGGCTAGAACGGGTCTTGCTCTTGCCTTTCGCCTTGCCGCCCTTGCCACGTCCGGACATGGTGTTGCTTTTCGCTTGGTACGACGCCGGTTGCCGAAAAGAAGAAAGCTGCTGCCTTCTAAGATGAGAGCCGTGCTCGAATGGTTTCCGTTGCCACCATCGCGCGCCGCCGCTCGCGGGGAACGGATGAGAGTGTGAGAGAGAGAAGCCGTGCGAACCAATGGGGCGCGCGCGTTGTGCTGATCTCGTCAACACCCCTCGCTCATATTTAAGCGCGGCGAGACGGGGGGACACGAAAAAAAAAAGCAGCGAGACACCACGCAGGAAGGTCGCGTTTTTTTTCGCCTCCACAGTTTTTTTTAATCTGTAGCTTTGCGCACACCAGTGCGCCAATTCATTTATATTTCTGGCGCTCTTGACTAGCACCTAGTGTGCAGCCCTTTTCAGGGCTTCAAGAATAAAGGGAAATGTAGTCCCCCTTTTTATTTTGTCATTTCCTTTTTTTTCCTTCTTTTCTCCACGATCTCGTGATCGAGATCGGCCATCTACAACATGCATGGCACCTCATCCAAAGAAGCGGGAGTAAAGAAACCCCCCCGACAGACTGGCCCCAGCCCGGCTCTCACCAGGGCTCGGAAACTACAGGCAGCCAAGGGCTCCCACACCACCGGCAAGACTGGGATCCCTTCTCCCACTTCACGGCCCCTCAGCCGAGCCGCCCCAGTGTCTTCCGGCCGTACTGCGAAGAGTGGACCAACACCAAGCGGCCTCAAGCCAGTAGTCCTCACGACCACGTGCTCCAAAGCCGCCATGTTGTCGTCTCCCCAGCGGGACGTCCATGATAGCGAGGAAGGCAGCACCACCTCGTCCTCCACCTCCTCTCCCTCGTCTTCGTCTTCGTGGGAGCACGAAACCCCACCCTCCTCCCCCACCACAGGAACAGAGAGCGAGACAGAGGAAACTCGGTCGCCTAAGCCGAAAAAGCTGGCAGCAACAGGAGCCCGCCGTAAGCGTGCGGCCTCAATACCGCGGAATCACCGCCTCCTTGCCTCCCCACCTAGCGCCCTCTCCTTGCCAACAGCAGACATTGAGGATGACGTCACCCAGGACATCGAAATAGACTGGGAGTTCTTCGCATCACTCAGGCGGGGACGGAAACCTCCGCAGCCCTCTGCTGACTCAGCCTCTCGGGAGAACAGGGAAACCCCCACTGCGCTACTCCCAGCCCACCAGGATGACGTCAGGGGGGAAAGCCAGGCAGCCAGCAGTCAAACGACAGAGGCAGGCCGCGCCCCGGCCGCTCCCGAGTGTTTCCCTTGCCCACGAGCAAGCCCCCTCTCTCAGCGGAACCAGTTTTCCTGCTGTCCTCCTGTCTGCCACTCCGGGTGACGTAGCGGAGGAGCAACAAGCTGGGCAAGGAGGCCCCCTCCCCTCTCTCGCTCGGAGGGGAGTGGCGGAGCGGCGTCTGTGCAAACAGCTGGAGTCTCCTCCTCCCCACAGGCGGGCTCTACAGGCCTTCCTCCTCACCCCACCACAGAGGCGCCGGGCAACGAAACACCCTGCGCGACTCTCCAACCCTCCCTGCCAAAGCCAAGGGGAAAGAAGGGAAAACCAAAGAGAAAGCAGGAAAGGGCACCACGCCCGGTCTCCTCTCAGGTGGTCGCGGAGGTCAACGCCCCTCTTCGGCAGACACCACCGGCGCGCACAGCTGACCCCAACGGCCGGACTATCATTTTTAGACCGCTCGGCCGCAAGTCGCACTTTTTGGCTGCATCGAGGGACGCCATCGCTGCTTATCTCGCCGGGTTCCCAGCCACACAACGCGTGCGGGTTAACCATCGCCGCAACCTCGTCGCTGTCGACACCGCCCCCAACTCTGATGTCAGTGCTCTCATCGAGATCACCACCATCGTTGATGTCAGAGTAAAGGCAAAGGTGCTCGACCTCAACTCATGTGTGGGGGAGGTGTTCGGGGTTGATGAAAACATTCCCCTGGATATCATTGCCGCGAACATTACCACTGCGGTAAAGACCCTTACGTATGCGCGGCGCGGCGCCACGCTGGTCATTACGTTTGAGGGAACTGTGGTGCCAGCGGAGCTCTCGCTCTTCAAACAACGGAGGCCGGTGCGGGCGCGCCTTCCGCGTCCACTGCAGTGTGCGCGTTGCGGTGTGTTTGGACACGCCACTGCAACGTGCTCGCGCGACAGGCGCTGCCTCCGATGCGCCAGGAACCATGCCGAGGGTCCCTGCGCGTCAGAAAAGCCCCGCTGCATAAACTGCAAGGGCTGCCACCCCGCGAACGAACCCCGGTGCGAGTCATGGCAGCTGCAGCGAAAGGCAGCCTTTCTACTCGCCTCCTCAGGCGGCAAACTTACGCGCCGCGAGGCCATCCAACAAGCCAAAGCTGCAACACAACGGGAGGCCTCAGGGACGGCAACAGCTTCCACGCGCTCTGGCTGCTCATTCCGCGACGCCCTGAAGAGCAACCCCACCGCAGCACCGGCTCCTGCCGCCACACAGCCCACATGTCCCCCCCCTCCCCCCCCAAAAAAAGACGCAAGGGATACGGTCATGACGGCACTGGCCGCGGCTCTTCGCGCACTACTCGAAACCACGGTGTGCAGCACGCCGACGCGCGACCTTTGCCTGGCAGCTCTGCGCGCACATCAAGACTTGACCCACCATGGCTAGTGCGACAAAGAAGCCGCGGCCGCGGATACTCCAGTGGAACGTCCGTTCTCTCCGCCGCCGTCACCGTGAGCTTGTGCGCTCACTTCCCCAGCGCGAACTTGATGTCCTGGCTCTTCAGGAAACGCACGTTCGTGCTGGGGAGCTCAATATCCCCGGACATGTGGCCTATCACAGTGCGACCGAGTGTGAACGTGCCGACTGTGTCAGCCCCCACTGCACGCAACTGTTGCATCGGCCGGGATGCTCTCGCGCGTCCATTTATGTGCGTGCGCGACTTCCCCAGTCGGCGGTTGACATCGCCGATATTCTGTGTCCCGGTGTCGAGTGCGTTGCTGTGCGAGTGCGCGTTGGTGCTGTAGACACTGCAATAGCGAGTGTTTATGTGCGCTACCCTCGACTCTGGGACCCCCAGTTTATCGTCCGACTGGTGGACCGTCTCGGCGCTTCGGCAGTTGTGTGCGGTGACTTCAACTCTCACCACACGGCGTGGGGAAGTGCGGGAGTGAACAACCCGGGCCGCAAGGTGTTGGATGCGTCCCTCGCCGCCGGTCTCCATCTCCTCAACGATGGCAGGAACACCTTCCTGAGGCGCGGCTCGGCTCCCAGTGCGATCGACCTCTCCTTCGTGACGGAAGACTGCCGCTACCGGTGGTCCCGAAGCCCTGACACGGAGGGGTCGGATCACTACCCCATCTGCCTCGAGCCCCTCTGCGCCCGGCCTGATCAGACGCGCGCCTACTCGGTGGTGAACTTCTCACGCTTTCGCGAACTGTGTGCTGCAGTGCCAGTCGCGGGTGACGTGTTTACGCACATAGCCGAGTGCGCGCGCGAGGCTACGGTGAAGTGCCGTGTTCCCGCCAACACGCCGGTGCCGGACATCAAGCAGCTCAACTTACGGGCTGCTCGGCGTCGTGCTCAGCGCCGGGCTGAGCGCTCTGAGAGGGCGGAGGACTGGACCGTCTACAACCGCATTGACGCGGTGTGCAGGCGCCACGCCCACCATCGCTACGCCGAAAGCTGGTCCAGCCTCTGCCGCTCCTTCGAACAGCAGCGCAACAACCGGCGCGCCTGGCGGGTGTTCGGAGCGATGTTGCGACAGCGGGTCCCGCAAGATCCGGCCCTCTCCATCGCGATCGCCCTGCAGCTGACCACGGCTCAGCTGACGGAACTGCTCGCCGACACCTTCAACGCCCCTGTCCTCGCCCCTGACACAGTGCGGCTTCCCCCTCTGCCAGCGCATCACCGGCCGGAACTGTTCGCTCCCGAGCGGTTTTTCCCCACGGCGAGATTGTGCGACATATAGAGGCCCTCTGCACGCAGGATTTCACCATCGGAGAGCTGCGCCACGTCCTTTCCACGCGGAGGAACCGTTCTGCGCCTGGCAGCGACGGCATTACGTACCAGATGCTGCGAAACCTCGACGAAGGCCAACTTCCTGGCCTGCTCGAGGGGTATAACAGCGTCTGGCGCTCGGGTGCGTTTCCGGCGACGTGGAAGGAGGCGATCGTCGTTCCGGTGCGCAAGAGGGGCAAGCCCGCGTCGGAACCGACCTCATACAGGCCGGTTTCGCTTACGTCAGCTGCCGGGAAAGTGATGGAAGCCATGGCCCTCAAGCGACTCGAGTGGATTGCTGCGGCCCTCAACTTCCTGGCAGACGTCCAGAGCGGCTTCCGCTGTCACCGGTCAACTGCGGATTGCATCTCCGACGTTGTCACCACGCTGGAGAATGCAAAGCTCCGCGGTGAAGCCGGATATTTGGTTCTCCTCGACATAAAGAGTGCCTTCGATCGCCTGCCTCATGCGGCCGTTTTGGACGCTCTTCGTGCTATGGGTGTGTGTGGCAGGCTTCTCGGGTACGTCGAGGAGTTCCTCGGGGGCAGAACGTTCCGTGTCCGCATTGGTGGCGACCTCAGCGCGCCTCGCCCGTCCACTGCCGGTGTGCCGCAGGGCAGCATCTTGGGCCCCATGCTGTTCAACCTCGCCCTCGCGCGCATCGTCGACTACATCCCACGAGACTTGGAGTACGAGGTGCGCATTGCCATCTATGCGGACGACATCGCCCTCTTTGCGAGTGGACCCACTCTGCGCGGGCTGCAGGTGCGACAGAGCCTCAACCGCTCTCTCGAGGCCGTGGATGATTACATCACGAGCATTGGGCTTCAGCTCTCCACGGCCAAGACGGAAGCGCTTCTCGTTCACCCAACCATCAAGGGACGATACGAGGTCGGCCGCCTCAAGTTCCGGGGACGTGTTCTGCCGTGGCGACGATCGGTCCAATACCTCGGCATCACGATCGATCACCGCTTGAGCTGGAAGCCAGCCGTTGCCAGCCACCGGACTAAGCTGTCGCAGAGTCGCAGGAGCGGCATCCTCTCTCCTCGCGAGGGGCAAAGGCTGTTCACCAGACATTGCCCTGAGGATGTACAACGCCGTCGCCGGAGCCAGGGCCCTCTACGCATTCTCCTGCATCACCCTGCGACCGCCACAGTGGGAAACTCTCGAGAGGGCACATCGCGGCGTCATCCGCCGCCTCTTTGGAATGCCTCGGGCGTCTCCAGTGGGAGTGACCTATGCAGAAACGAATCAGTTTCCCCTCTCGCTCAGAGCCAAGGCTTGTGCTCTGCGTCACGTCGAGCGCTTGCACATGACGCGAGGGGGAAAGGCACTCGTACATCGTCTGCTATCGCTGCCCGACACTGGTATGGGCCGCAGCGCACTGGAGTACGCCAGCCTCATCTCGGGAACCCCTTTCGCAGGTCTCCTGCCTATCCCTCCTCACTGGGACTCCCGGCTGCCCATTTCGATCAGGGTTCCGGGTGTACGCAGCAAGGGGCACACACCTCGGGCTGCCCTTCTACAGGAGACCTGCGCACTGATCGAACAGCGCTACTCCGGCCACCTCCATCTCTACACGGACGGCTCGGTGAAGGGGGACGGCTCCGCTGCTGCTGCCAGCGTCATTCCGGTGCTACGAGACGAGAGGAAGTGTCGTCTTCCACTCCCGGCGACTTCGACGACCGCTGAGCTCGCGGCTCTGAACCTTGCGGCCGATCAGCTGGTCGAGTTCCTCCCGTCTTCGGCCGTCATCTTCTGCGATTCTCGGGCGGCCCTCCTCACCCTTGCGAGGGGCGAAAATGGCTCTTCGATCGCACAGCGCCTCACGCGCAAGTTCACCGTGATCGTGCGCAGTGGGTGTGATGTGTCGTTTCAGTGGGTGCCCTCACACGTCGGAGTGCGCGGCAACGAGGCAGCCGACGAGCTCGCAAGGGACGCCCACGACCCCTCCACTCCTACAACGAACTTCGTTCGGGACTACGATGTGGCGCGACTCATAATCGCACGCCACGTCCGAGCTCTACACCCAGACCCCCGCACAGCAGCCGGCAAGCCTGTCGCACGCCTCCCGTCAACGGGAATCGGGCGGCGTGCTCGTGCTTTCCTGCTGCGCCTTCGTGCTGGATGCGGCCGAACAGCGCAACTGCTCTCTAAACGGCGTGGCAGTGGCAGCCCTTCGTGTGTGCAGTGTCCGGCAGAGGAGACCGTTGAACACATTTTGTGCCTGTGCCCGGGATACGCAGACATTCGTCGCCGTCTCTGCGACAGCTACGGGAAACTCGGCCTGCCACACGTGAGTGGCAGGCCGATCCGAGAACTTGCTGTTCCCCTCGGCGAACGTAGCAACACGTCGCCGGGCGTTCTATGCGCTTCTAGACTTTTTTGGCGACGCGAACCTTTTCACGCGCCTCTAAAGAGGCCCGTTGCAATCCCACGTGTGTTTGTTTACTGTGTCGCGCGCCACGCCCCCTTGGAACCACACGTGACTGTTGACGTAGGCCACTCCCACCTGCCTGACGGCCTTTTTCTTCTCTCCTACGGAGCCTCTCCCGTCGGAGTGGACACTCTCTCCCCTTCCCTCGTGGTTGCGGAGCGCCCAAACTTCTTGCCTGTTCGGTGGTGTGTGTGTTTGTGTGTGGGTTTTTTTTTCTCCTCACTACTCGGGCGCATTCATCGTCTCCGGCTTCTCGGCGGTCTTTCGCTCGGTTGCGTGTGCTGCGCTGTTTCATGCGCGCGTGCGCGGGGCCAGTGATCGAATGCATTTCACCACTCTATTCTTACCTCTTCTCTTCTGTCTCTTTCATTCCCATTCCCCCTTCCCTGCGCTTTGCTGTGGAGGTGCCCTCATTCAGAGAGGCAGTAACGGGACAGCGCTTTTCTCTTCCTTTCCTCTTTCATAGCCACTCAGACGGGGGGGGGGGGGACACGCGCATTCGACTCTGGTCTCGCGTGCGTGTTGTGTGAAATCATGCCTCCCCAACCGTCTGGCAAAGCCGTCAAGAAGGCCGGCAAGGCGCAGAAGAATGTGCGCGCCACGGACAAGAAGAAGAAGAAGCGCCGCAGGAAGGAGAGCTTCTCCATCTACATCTATAAGGTGCTGAAGCAGGTGCACCCCGACACTGGTGTCTCCAGCAAGGCCATGTCCATCATGAACAGCTTCGTGAACGACATCTTCGAGCGTATCGCCGCCGAGTCGTCACGCCTTGCTCACTACAACAAGCGCTCGACCATCACGAGCCGGGAGATCCAGACCGCGGTGCGCCTGTTGCTGCCCGGAGAGCTGGCCAAGCACGCGGTGTCCGAGGGTACAAAAGCCGTCACCAAGTACACCAGCTCCAAGTAGGCGTGCGTCGTGGGCCACAGCGAGCAACGACAAATCAACGGCTCTTCTCAGAGCCACCCAAATTGTTTGCGTCGGCATAGGGGTTGTGCTGAGAGATTCGGCTCCGAATCCATCCTCTTCTCTCTGTTGAACACCGCTAGCAGGAGCGTTGGTGTGCCGCGCTCGACGTGTGTGCTCGGGGAGGTTGAACAGGTAAATTAGAGAAGACCGAGTGCGCGGAGAAAAGTGCCACAAGTACGGTAATGGAGGGAAAACAGAACCAGGAGCGTGGTAATTTGAAAAAAAAAACAGGGGGAAGGTGGCCGCTTCTCTCAAAAGGTAGCATGAACTCGAGTGTGTTCAGCTCTGAGCGAATGATAGAAAAGAAAACTCGCGTCAGCGCTTGCCCGAGCAACTCCGATATGTCGGGCCAAATACGAAGGGGTATACACGGTATGCAGTGCATGCGGAAAGAAGGGAACTGCCGAACACTTGATAATGCTATGTAAAGGGCTTCACCCTATAGTTTAGAATGATGGCGCAGAGTTTTTCAAAGCACCGGGGTTTATTATAGGCGGGGGAGGGCAAAATAGACTTTAGGCGGGTAGAATTAACTAGAAGGTGGTTATCTTATTGGTGGGTTAAGTCAAGGCAAGAGTGAAAACTAAACCATTCACTGCAAAGCACCGGTCCTATACTTCACTATTTAAAGAGAGAGCGAAAAAAAACAAAAAAAACAAGATAAATGTAGTTGTTGGTTAGCTCAGCATTACGGCTAGGTGGTGATAGCTGCCGCCCGATGTGAAGGGTACAGCCACATTCATCAGACAGCGCCGAGTTCCTTCTCTGCCACGCCATTCATTTGTTTACGAAATTGGGGCATTTATTTCTTGAGAGCGCAGGGCAGGCCCGTTTCGAGACTGTAGGAGGAGTGAATGTAGCTTAAAGTGCGTGACGCGGTGAAAAATGTGCGGAAGCATTGATGCACGAAAAGATAGGGGAGGAATGTATAGACGCATGTGACAATAGCTGTAGAAGCAGAAAAGCGTGGCGGCAGACTGCATGCTAATTATTGTCCGAAAGCAAAGTATCGACAGCCCGAATGAAGGAAAAAAAAAAGCTGTGCGTACGCATGACAGGGGTACCACGCAGGTGATTTATATAGTGTACAAAGAAGTACGAAATCCAGTAAACAAAGGCGGTCGACAGGAGGTATGGGCATTTCCCGTTTTCGCACCGAGTGCTCCGTTTGCGCGTCGCCGAAAGAAACATAGCCAGGCCGGCCAGCAAACGACACTGCTCGGCTTGACGTTTACATATCACACGATGTGGCTGAACACTGTGTTCTCTTCGAAAGAACAAATGCGCCTGTGCTAAGCACAAGTGAGTGGTACGTTCCATTCGGAATGTGGTGGGAAACTTACTTTAAATGAATGAGCGGACGCACCGTTTATTTCCCCTTGGTTTTGTGACGTGATGGACGACAGGACAGCACAGCGAGCGTTGCAGTGTAACCACATTTAAACACATTTAACTGAGCGGTTGACGTTGGTCAGAATGTAGAAATGCGCAGTTTTCCGCACGAAAAACGAAAAGGGGGATGGGAGAAAAAATACTTTTTTCGACGCTATGGCATGCTCTCGTTATGGTGCGTCGTAGCGCCGCTAGAGATGCGTAGCATGCCAAGGGGAAGTCCGCGTTTAACTCGTCGTGACTAAATGAATATAACGAGAGAAAGGACAACGCCAAAGAAAGAAAACAGCGGTGACTCACAATTAAGGCTGAACCAGCCAGAGTTGGCTGGCATGTTATCGTGGCCTTGGATGTCGTTTGGATCGCGGGGCTTGTCTGAGTACTGGTGCACGCGTTCGGCTGCAGCCGCCTTTCGTTCAGCAGGGATGATGGTTCGCGGTCAGTGGCTCTGTTTAAATAGATGCGAAGCCTAGTTAAAGTTGTTATCTACGCAGAATCGCCACACTTCACGTACCATTAGAACCGTGTCGTAGATGCGGTGCGGGAGGACTCTGTCCTAAATGGAGGGTTAATTAAAAAAAAAGCGGCTACTCAGGATTCGCAGTTGGACTGGATGCGAATCAAAGGTGGCAGTTTGGTTGTTGGGTTGCGATTGCCGCGCGCGTGTACCTGCACAATGGGGGCGTCGTTTGTAAGATGATTTCATTTGCGGAGGTTCGTGAGACCAGTCTGTGATTTTATTGATGTTTTATTGCGGGATACCAACCGCGGCTTTTTCGAACGGCTTGTGGGTGTTTTGTGAGATCTTTTTAGATTACTGACTATGTTCGGCGGGTCGACAGTGCATTTGTATGAAGCCTTCAAGCGCGATCATTTTGTAATTTCGCATCGTGCGTCCCTGCCACCAGTTGGGGGAAGGAATACTTTCAGTGTGGGAACCCTCATGATTGTGAAAGATGAAACTGCGACTACTTAAACACACTTGCACCACAGAAATGGCACGCGCAGTTTGGTATTGGTGCACGTGAGAAGGGAATACAATAGATGGGCATTGGCGCGCATCTTTTTTTCTTATTGATAAGATATGTAAGGAGATGTTGGCGCACCATTATGGCGCCGGCTACTCCTTGGCCGTTGAGTTAAACTTGAACACGTATCTTGAAGCAAAACATACAAAGCAGTGCATGGAAAGTAGAAAACTCGGGCAGAAATATGCAAAGACACATTTACACTTATACGCACATATCAGAACACAATGGTAAGTAAATGTTCGAAAGTCAATGAATGAAGTCTCTGATAATGTCCCTCGTTAATATTCGGTCCACCAGCACAAAACAGTGGAGCACACGTCTGGTCCTTATAAAGATGCATTCGCTCGTGTGTACATAATTGTCGACACGTCATTCATTTCACAACACACACATGATGGGAGCCACGTGATACTGTACATAATAAGTACATTTGTTACAAATGAAAGTTCGTTATTTCTTAATACTTATCAGCTATCCCGCTGTCTTGTAAAGAACGTGTTGATGCTTTTAAAGCGTGCGACTGTAAAACTCGAGTAGGCCACGGACCCAGAAGTTTCTTCATGTTAAACCGTCTGCGGTCTAATGCCAACTGTTCGGACTTAAGACGGCGTCTCGTGATGTGGACATTCTACGAGAAGGTGACATACGTCTTCATCTATCAATCCACATTCGCATTCGGGACTTTCAGCTCTGCCGTGTCTGTGCAAAGAAAAAAAAAAGTTTTGTGTATGCCGTGCCTAGCCTCAATCGGTAAATTAGAGTTTCCGATATTCTATCTAATGCCAGCGTAATTTTTAATTCAATAAATGGATCGATGTGGTATAAATCGCACCTCTTTGTACTATGGTCAAACCAAGCAGTTTTGCTCATTCTGAAAGTTGTATTCTTTATAATACTACGCAATTCACTTTTTTCGAAATATTGGTTGCCACGATGTGTAGACCTACTTTGTGCGCTCTGGACGGCAGATATCAGGCGTAATGAAGCTAGGAACACATGTGAGCCTCGGAAAAAGAAGTGCGAATAAGAAAGGCCAACTGCAAATCTTCTTTGCACAGCTGATGCCGTCCGGATAGTCGTTGATAGATTACTTAACAGGTTGTCAGCCTCCGAAGGTATATGTAAGCGAAAGTACGCATGCGTAAAACATGCAGCGAACGAACACTCTTCCAACGCTGTAAAGAAGAAAGAATGCATAAAGGGTGGTGCATTTTACGCTCCAACCTCGTCCTATGTAAGGCGCTTTAGAGTTAGGGCTGTTTTGCCTGTAATTGCGTGACCCTTGCAGGGTTCCTCACAGTGCAACCGTGCACTTGAAACGGGCAGGTGTTGAACCACCCCGCAAGGAGATGGGGAAACTTCTGAAGAGGTTCTTTAACGGGGAAAGTGAAGAGAAAAGCGCGGAGCTGTTACTGTCTTTCAAGCGAAGTCACCTACACGGCTCCGCGCGGGGGAAGGGGAGTGGGAGGTAAAGACTGAGGAGGAAAGGATAGGAGAGGGAGAACACAGAGGGCTGTCTCGGACGTAGCACGCGCGCGCTGCCCCCGGGAAGGGAAAGCAGTCAGGCGAGCCAGGATGGAGAGGGACCAGCGGCACCACGCGGCAAGAGTGAGAGGAGGTGGGCGTGGCCCGCCGTGTAAACAAACACACACAGACACGTGGTTGCGGGGCGCGCGATGAGGGCGAAGCACGGTGGAGGTGGGCGTGGCCCGGCACGTAAACAAACACGGACACGTGCGTGCGGGCCACGCTAGAGGCGCGCGATGAGAGCGGCGTCGCCGAAGAACTCGAGCAGGGCCTCGAAGGCCCGCATGAGGCTCGAGCGGGGGGCCTGGGGGAACCGGAGGTGGTCGAGGCTCACGTGTGGAAGTCCCAGACGACCGTAGGCGTCGAAGAGCCGCCGGCGTTGTTCCGTGTAGCCGGGGCAGTGAAGCAGGATGTGCTCGGTGGTCTCCTCTGCCGGGCACTCGGCACACGAAGGGCTCCCGCTGCTGGTGAAACGGAACTGCCTTGCAGCCGTGCGGGAACAGTCGGTGCGAAGCCGAAGCAGGAAGGCCCGGGCACGCCTGCTGATGCCAGTCTTCGGCAGCGGTCGCGGGGGGTATCCTGTTGCCACACGTGAGTCCGGGTGTAACGCGCGCACATGGCGCGCAATACGAAGATGCGCAACATCGCTCGCGCAGATGAAAGTCGAAATGGGTGTGCTGGGGTGGTGCGCCTCCTTGGCGAGTGCGTCCGCTGTCTCGTTTCCGAGTAATCCAACATGAGACGGCACCCACTGGAACGCAACATCACAACCATTCCGCACGATCACCGCGAACTTCCGCGCGAGGCGTTGCGCAACAGGGGCGCCACGTTCTCCGCGAGCAAGTGTGAGGAGGGCGGCGCGAGAGTCACACACCACTGCTGCCGACTGCGGCAGGAAGTCAACGAGTTGATCTGCCGCGAGATCGAGCGCGGCAAGTTCAGCAGCAGTGGAGGAAGCACTCAGGGGAAGGCGGCACTTCACACGGATGCCGAGGGATGGGGCGAAACAAGCAGCTGCCGCCGAGCCGTCCGCTGTGACTGAGCCGTCGGTATACAGCAGAACTCGGCCGGCGAGCCGCTCCTCTATCGTGGGGACAGCCTCCTGCCGGAGGGCAGACCAAGGAGTGTGTTTTTTGGATCTGATGCCAGGAATGGTGGTGTTGATCTCTAGCCCAGGATCTTGGTGCGGCGGGATCGGGATCAAGCCGCAGTAAGGCGGGTCGGGCACGAGCGCAGCGTACTCCAAGGCGCGCTGACCCATGCCCGAATGGGGACGATCAAGGAGGCGTCCAGCCAGGCGTCGTCCCTCGGACGTGAGGTACATGCGGTGTATGTGGCGCAACGCACTGCCTCTCGCCCGAAGTGAGAGGGACGTCTCGCCAGCCTCCGCCAGGGTGGGGCCGATCGGCGACGTGCGCGGCAGGCCATACAGGCGGCGTACCACGCCACGGTGGAGGTTGTCCAGCGCGGCCCATTGCACAGGTCGTAGTGCGACGAGCGGGACGGCATACATAACCCTGGCCGACGCTACCGCATTGAAGAAACGCAGCGCGATGTCCGGGGAGCAGCCTCCACCATTGGCAAGCATGCGGGAGGCCATGCCGCCAATCCTCCGTGTGTCGCTGCGGATGGACGCCAGTGCGGGGCTCCAGTTAAGCCGCTGGTCGATCGTGAGACCAAGGTAGCGCACTTTGCGCTTCCACGGGAGTCGGTGGCCGCGAAGGACGAGCTGCGCACCGACGAAGCACTTCGTGTGCTCCGGGTAGACGCGCATGGCCTGCGTCTTGGCGGCTGAGAGCTGGAGCCCGATGCCAGTGACGAAACCGTCAACTGCGTCCATGGCAGCTTGTAGTCCCCGGCGCACTTGCCGACCACGAAGGGTGGGGCCACAGGTGAAGAGCGCGATGTCGTCCGCGTAAACCGCAACGCGCACCTCGTAATCAGTGACTCGCGGGATGTGGTCGGTGAGGCGTGCGAGAGCTGCATTGAAAAGAAAAGGGCTCAGCACACTGCCCTGCGGAACACCCGCTGACACCAACCGAGGACTGCTGAGTTCGCCGGCGACGCGCACACGAAAGGATCGGCCACTGAGGAACGCCTCGACGTATCGGAGCATGTTCGCGCACACACGCATCTCACGAAGGGCGTTGAGGATGGTGTTGTGTGGGAGCGAGTCAAACGCACTCTTTACGTCGAAAAGCACGAGGTATCCCGCCTCCCCACGGTGCTTGGCCTCCTCAAGAAGGCTCACAACGTCCGAGATCGAGTCCGCAGTCGCTCGATGAGCTCTGAAACCGGACTGTTCAGCCGCGAGAAAATCAAGCGCGGAAGCGATCCATTGAAGGCGCCGGAGCGCCATGGCTTCGAATGTTTTCCCCACGGCCGAAGTGAGCGAGACCGGTCGGTAGGCTGAAGGTTCGGACTCCGGCTTCCCTTTCTTGTGGATGGTAAGTACTATGGACTCTCCCCACGAGGCTGGTAGCGCCCCCGTGCGCCAGATGCCGTTGTAGGAGTCAAGCAGCTTCCGAGACTGGGTGGCATCCAAGTTTCGGAGCATTTGATAAGTGACGCCATCAGCCCCCGGCGCCGAGCGGCGCCCCCGAGAGTCGAGGACGTCGCGAAGCTCCCGGATGCTGAAGTCGGCTGTGCACAGCTCGCCGATCGCTTCCACAATGGCTGGTGTGGGGAAGAAGCGAAAGGGCGCATAGAGTTCGGGCCGTGCATGTGGCGGTAGCTCGGACACGGTAGCAGCTGCACCGGCAGTGGGCGCACTCGCGAAAGTGTCAGCCAACAGTTCGGCGAGCTGCGCGGTGCCGATTCCAAGCGTGACCGCGATGGAGAGCTCCGGATGACGAGGCACACGGGGGCGGAGGAGGGCTCGGAACACGCGCCAGGCTCGCCGTTGACAGAGCGGGTCGTCGAAAGTGTGGCAGAGGCTGGACCAGCTGCGATTCCGTTGTCTATGGGCGTGGCGTCGACAGACCGCGTCGATGCGGTTGTACACAGTCCAGTCCTCTGCCTTGTCCGAACGTTCCGCCCTGCGTTGCGCCCGGCGGCGAGCTGCGCGCAGGTTTAGAAGCTTAATGTCGGGCACGGGCGTGCCCGCCGGCACTCGACACACCGTCGTGGCGGCACTCGCGCACTGCACAATGTGTTGTAGGAAGTCGCCCGCGACTGGCACTTCAGCACACAGTTCGCGGAAACGGGGCCAATTCACCACACTGTACACATTGGTGCGCGGGGCGCCGGTATAGAAGGGCTCCAAGAGGATCGGGTAATGATCCGAGCCCTCAGTGTCTGGCGCACGGCGCCACGAATAGTGGCAGTCGTCCGTGACGAGCGTGAGGTCGAGCGCACTGCGCTTGACACCGGGACGCACGAAGGTGTGGCTGCCGTCGTTGAGGATGTGTAGGCCAGCGCAGAGGGCGGCATCCATCAAAGCGCGACCACTGGCGTTTACACTCGCGCATCCCCACGCTGTGTGATGGGAGTTGAAATCCCCACACAACACAGCCGCACTTCCGAGGCGATCGGCTAGCCGCACAATAAAGTCGGCGTCCCACTCGCGCGACGAGTGAACATAGACACTCGCGACACATGTGTCTGTCGAACCAACACGCACCCTCACTGCCACACACTCGACGCCCGCACCGAGAATGTCAGATACGTCGAGACGCACTTGGGGAAGGCGCGCGCGCACGTAGAGAGAGGTCCTTGCCAGGCCCTGAGGGTGCGCCGGGTTGTTGCAAAAGCGTGCTTAAGCACGCACTGTCCCTGCAGCTCGTGGCCCCGTGGTAAGCCACATACCCTGGCAGGTTGAGGGCCCCATCACGAACTCGCGTCTCTTGCAGTGCCAGGACGTCGAGGTCGCGCTGGGGCAGTGAGCGGGTGAGCTCAGGGATACGGCAGCGGAGGGAACGCACGTTCCACTGGAAAATCCGCGGCCGCGGCTTCTTCCACGCACTATCCATGCTGTGTGAGATCGTGATGTGCGCGCAAGGCTGCGATGCAGTAGTCGCGCGTCGCCGGGCTGCACACCGTAGTCTCCAGGAGTGCGCGAAGAGCCGCGGCCAGGGCCGTCATCACTGTATCCCTTGCGTCCTTTTGGGGAGGGGCGGGGGACGTGTGGGCTGTGTGGCCGCCGGTGCCGGTGCTGTGGTGGCATTTCCCTTCAAGGCATCGCGGAAAGTGCAGCCAGGGTGTGTGGCTGCCGTTGTTGTCGCTGAAACCTCCCGTTGAAGCGAAGCTTTTGCTCGCTCGATGGCTTCGCGGCGCGACAGTTTTCCACCAGAGGAGGCGAGGAGAAAGGCGGCCTTTCGCTGCAGCTGCCATGACTCGCACCGAGGTTCGTTGGCGGGGTGGGAGCCCTTGCAGTTGATGCAGCGGGGTCGTTCTGAGGGGCAGGGACCCTCTGCGTGTTTCCCGCCGCAACGGAGGCAGCGCTTGTCGCGCAAGCACGTTGCTGTGGCGTGTCCGAACACACCGCAACGCGCACACTGCAGCGGTCGTGGGAGGCGCGCCCGAACCGGCCTCCGCTGTTTAAAGAGCATGAGCTCGCCTGGCACGACAGTTCCCTCGAAAGTGATGACAAGCGTGGAGCCGCGCCGCGCACATGACAGGGTCCTTGCCGCTGAAGAGATGTTCGCGGCAATGCGGTCGAGAGGAATGTTTTCATCAACCCCAAACACCTGCCCAACACAGGAGTTGAGGTCGAGCACCTTCGCCTTTACTCTGACATCAACGATGGTGGTGATCTCGAGGAGAGCACTGACATCAGAGTGTGGGGCGGTGTCGACAGCGACGAGATTGCGGCGGTGGTTGACCCGCACCCTTTGTGTGGCTGGAAAACCAGCGAGGAAGGCAGAGATTGCGTCCCTCGATGCAGCCAGGAAGTGTGACTTACGGCCGACCAGTCTGAAAATGATCGTCTGGCCGATGGCGTCACCAGCAGGCTGCGGTGGTGATTGCCCCATAGGGGCGCAGATCTCCGCTACCGCCTGAGAAGAAATCGGGCGTGGCGCTGGCTTCTGCTTTTTCGTCGGTTTCCCCTTCCCACTTGTCTGCGGCAGAGAGGAGTCGACAGGCGCGCACAGAGTTAGCTTGCCCGGGGCCTCCGTGGTTGGAAGAAGGGGAAAGCTCGCAAAGCCCGCCGGGGAGGAGACTCCGGATGTTGAGGGGAGTGGCACCTCCTCTCTTTATGTCCGGCTCAGTTCCTTTGGGGGACCCGCCGGGAGAGAGAGGGGGTGGTTGGCCTGAGGGGAGGACGGGGGGAGACAAGGAGTTGACCCAGGCTCGCCTCGGGAAGGGGTTGCGGCATATGCGCCACTCTCTCCAGTGACGTCAGGACTGGGGAGGACTGGTTGGGAGAAGAAACCAGTTTGCGGCTGCACAGATGGATCGCAGGCTGGGTTGGTGCCGGCGGCTGCAGCAGACGACGTTCCCTGCTCTGGCTGTTCCAAGCTCACGACACTTCCGCTTTCGGAGCTCGGTGATGTGGCGGGTGTCTCGTGCTCCCAGGAGGAGGAGGAGGACGAAGACGTCGTGGGGGAGGAGGAACTGGCCTCACTGGATTCCTCGTTTCTGGGCGGTGGCTGCGAGAGAAACTCGTCCGTTTGCGTGGCCGTAGAAATGGCGGCCGGCTTGGTAATGGCCGCCGCTCGGCCTCCTCGGTTCCTTTGTGTCGCAGCCGGCTTCTTGGGCGGTTGCTGGCGCCGTGGATGTGGTCGAGTCTGTGGCCTGGACGTAGGTGTCTCCTCCGGTTTCTCCTTAGGGTAGGAGCCTTTGCGAGCCAGTCGGAGGCGGGCCCTGGTCAGTCGCAGGCTGGCCGCTTTAACGGCCGGGCTAGGACCACATGTTTGTGGCGTGGAGGCCACGTGGTCGGCGGTTTCGTTGAGGTCTGAGAGGAGAGCCTCAGAGCTGTGCGATGGCTCGTGGTTGCCGTCGGCCATGATAAGTGGCGACAGACCTCAAATGAGGTTGGAGAAAAAAAAAGGGGGGGGGGATAAGAAAACAAAGAGTTATAGCTACATACTGCTCTGCCCCCTTAGAGCCCTGAGAAGGGCTACGCTCGAGAGCGCGATCTTGGGAGCAGAACAAAAGAAAAAAAAAAAGGACACGGGCGTGTCAAATACTTTATTTAAATCAAAAGACTTGAAGCAGGGAAGAAAAACGACGTCCGCTCCCTCCGAAAGCCATCCACCGAGTTGGGGAAACTTCGCTGCGACCGGACCGCTTGACAGTCCGTGTTTACGGGAGGAGAGGCGCGCCCGAGAGGAGGTGCGCTCTCACTCTCTGCCGTCCCCGTGAATGCTGAAATGAGCGCGGTCGCGTTGCGTGGCTTCGGTGAAACTGCCGTATCACGATATGTAGTGGAGCTGCCACAGTAAAATTTGAGACACGCGTAGCCAGCCGAAGGTGCTGTTACTTTGCCGAATTTCACGTGCCGGCGTCCACAACAACGCGAGCACGCTTTGTTTAGAAATTCCCGGCCATGAGGCCGTGCCCGGACCGCGTGTGTTAGTCCCTTGGTTTGGCGACAAGGATGGCGTCAAAGTGACGCCGTGAAACGGGTTTCGTGCGTGCAAATGAGGCATTGATGTGATTAGAGAGAAAGCGAGAACATAGAAAAGAAAAAAAAGAGGGAGGGGGCACACGCCGGGGACGAGTAGTCGCAAAGTGTTAAGTGTGCAGTTTATTTACGTGCGGCACACAGGTGAGCTGTTGCAGCTGTGAGTTTTGACAAATATTGCGTGTGTCATGTTCAGTGGACACGATGAAACGTTTTTTTTAGCGAACGCGTTGTATCCGCTGGGTTTGTAGGTACGCGTACATGAATTGTCGCTTACTCGGTTTGATGTCTCCTTGCCGCTGGGGCAGCTGATGCGACTGATACGCCATTCTGCAGCAGTGAAGGGTGCGTGAATGAATGGGCAAGAACTTAGCAACAGTAACGAGAAAAGAATTAAAAACAAACAAACAAACAAAAGCATGTTTGCCGTGTATATTCAATCTTGTAGTGCAGAAAAATAGTCAGTGCAGCAACCTGCGCGGCCAACGCGCTCCTCGCGAAGAAAAGAGGGAGAGAGACGAGCTGGCCGCTGACCGACCGGCGCGCGCCGTTCGCCTTCCTCCTCAGTCTCGCGGGTCGGCGCCGACACCACGATTCGATCGTGTCGAGCATTCGCTTTCTGGGCGCGTTTCGAAGCAGAAGCAGAAACTTCACAAGCGGTCATGTCTGGC